GCAGCTGGTTGGTGGCAAATGGTTGGTGACAGTCGGTTGGTGGCAATTGGTTGGTGGCAGCTGGTTGGTGGCAATCGGTTCGTGGCAGTTGGTTGGTGGCAATTGGTTGGTGACAATCGGTTGGTGGCAGTTGGTTGGTGGAAATTGGTTGGTGGCAATTGCTTGGTGGCAAGAGCGAGGAGGAGCGAGGAGGAGGAAGGAAGGAAGGAAGGAACGAAGGAAGGAGCGGATACCACACTAAAAACAAAACCCCCACACGTCAAAGTGGGGTATATAATGAGCATTCTTGTGACATATTATATGACCATGTCAATCGGATGTCTTCAACTAGAAAGTTGAGCCAGTGATAGTGACTAGAAGAAATCAGTGGTGTACAGCGGTGTGACGTTGTTCTCGCGAATTCAAGGATGTTCGGAAGGCAGCCCCTTCCACCAACAGAGTGAATCTGACCTGGCAACATACCTCATGATCAGCTATTTGTCGCTGCTCAGGTCCCAAGAAATTCCTGATGCCTGCGACATAATCACCCAGCAAAGACATTCATGTGTGCAACCATGAGGCAAAGGGATCTTTCACGAGCCGCTTAGGTAGAACTGACGAAGCTGCAGCAGAGCTACCAAAGTTGCCAGCGGTTTGAGAAGGGAAAATGAAGGTTAGCGTGGGAGTGAATTCTATTGAGGCCGCGTTTGCTTGACGGCCAGAGTTTAGCGCTGTGGGCTCCGAGTAAACAGGATATCGGTGAAGGTCCTGTGGGAGCATGTGTGGGACCTCACTTGGGTGAGTACGGGGCAGTGGCAATCTCCGCTGACCCAATAAATGACCGGTGTTTGGAAGATACTTTCTCGGCTTGGAGGATGTTCAGCGAGTTGGAACGTGAGGAAGAAAGGGCGAGATGTTTCTGAGTCTCAATACTCTGGCATGTGTTGCGTTGTGTTGTGTGCAGCTACTATCAGCCGTTGGACTTCAAGCAAGTGATTAAGTAAACCCACAGCAGCCGTTGGCAATTATGAGGGAAGTCTTGCTAGAATGTTTGATAATAGTATGATACTATAAGAATATGTGATATTTTTTAATATTTTATTATAATAATGTAGTTTCTACATATATTTACAGTATATAGTATATATGGTGCTTTTATGGTGCTTTCAAAACCTCCAGACCAGACTTCTGACCCCGCTAGCATGAGACAAAGTGACGCCAGTAAAGTCTCACCAAGCGTACCCTCTCAGCAACCTGCTCGCCTGCGAAGGCAAATGATTCATGTCTTCAGTCTTCATGCCAATCTTGAATCGAGACATATATAGACGACGATATATACACATAATCGGGCTCAAAATACATTGTGTTTGCAATAATGTTTAATCGGATTTGTATATACATTCGTTGATGATGATGTGTTAATTTCGTAGTGGCCAAAAGATGCATCCATGATCATCCTGGCCGCACCTTTCTGGACCTCAGTGCGCTCCAGAGACTCCACAAACTCATCGTGATGCCATGGATTGCTGGCAGCCTGCAGGGCTTGTGTCATACTTGTATCAAATGTAAGGGTTGAGATTCGGAAGTCGTGGCCTAAAAACAGGTCTTTCAGTTCTTCAGAGATCATACTTGCACCTTGGCAAACCACTAAGTCCTATCAACTTTGTAGAGGAGCCTCGATGGTCTCGCTGATCAGGTTGGGGTCCCCTTGGGCCAATTGGTGAAGTTCCACATCCAGCGCTGTAGCCAAGAGGTCCATCCTAGCCCGAAGCGCGACATTTGGCGAACTGTGAAGCGGTCAGGTAAGATTTAAGGTGTGAACCTGAATATGAACATGTTTGCTTCTAAGCTTTTTGGACGGCCCGTCCTCTGCTCTAAGGATTTGCACACAGATGTAGCTGTTGAGTGTCTGACAGACTTGACTGAATTGATCTCTGGGGATACCACCCACTCTGGTCGATCCTCCAAAGTCTTGTTCAAAATCATCACAGCCCGCGGGTTGGTTGGATAGCAGGCTGCGTTGATCACACTGCGCTGGCTGGTGCGAGCCTGTCGACGCAAATTGAGTCGGGCATTCTCTCCTTGGGTCACAATCTCACCGGAGAGAAACTTTTCGACAGCTTCAATTGGCACGAAACCTGTTCGTTCTTCATCGATTGCATCGAACAAGTCAATCAAATCGCGCAGAAGACCAAGGTCAGGCTTTGCGATCTTCTTCTGCCTCACAACTTTGCTCTCATCTGGAGGTTTTTTGATCCATTGCATCATGATTGAAATGTCTGACCTTTTGGCCAAAGGAAAGACTGCCTTTAGAAACCCCCGCAGAGTAAGTTCTTGTGATGCTGTTGGCGTATGCAATGCTGATCTCTCAGCAGCGACTTCTTGAAACATCAATTCCACTTCAACTTTTCGACGGTAGGCAAGTTCTGCGCGACTCATATCTTTTGGTATAGCAATTGGAAGCCCGGATTTTAGCAATGAGCGAATGCCACCTCCCTTCTTCAACCAATATTCACTGCGGTACAACTTGAATGCAGCGAGAACATCCGCGCGTCTAAACAAACAACGTTCCTCTTCTTTCTCTTCAGAGCCTGACCCTGACTCCTGAGACAAATTCTCAAGGCCGTTGAATATTGAAGAACCACGGCGGATTGTATGCCTCTTGCCCCACTTTTTCCCGTCTTGGCCATTGTCGTCATGAATCTCTTTAAGAACTCGATCTGCGATGGTTCTACTTGGCTGGCTCGTGCTGGAAACGACTGAATTCACTGCTGCCTGCATAACTGTTGGGGTAATAGGCCTTGGCACACCTGCAGGTAAAACACCACCTCGGGCAATGTGATTTGAGCTGGCTGTCCAAAGGCGTCCGTGACAAACAACTCTTTGCCTCCCGTTTCCACTTTGTGCAGAGTTTGGTCTGGACCTATGCCAGAACTTCTGTACTCTTCGCCTATACTCTCGCCGTGCGACATCGTCCTTCAATTCTCCCAGTAGCTCTTCACGAATCGTTCGCTCCCGTAGTTCCAAATCCAAATTGCTCCGGGTGACTTCGTTGGCCGGTTTTAGTCTCTCCAAGCGGATTTGCTCCAGCTCTTGGTAGAGTGCGGACTCCCGGGCGGATTGAACAGCCAAGAAGTATCCTTTACGGCGTGGCAAGGGCTGGTCCAAGTCATCCATTCTGTAGCTTGTGGGCATGGCAGCAGCTGAGAGTGATGTAGGGACATCTTCCACAACTCCCGCACTTTTCTTTTCTTCAGCTTTGGTATGCCATGTCTCCAAATTGAAATTCACATTGAGCCGGCCAGCTGAGAAGCGACGCAGAAACGCACCGACCTGATCTTCAGTGGCCATTCTCATAAATGCCTCTTGCGACAAGGCCTTGGATAGTGCACCCAAGTTCTTGTAAATCATGCTTTCATCAATTTCTGAATCTTGATCGGGAAAACAACACCGAAGAGCGAGTTCGTGGTGAGCTGTCACTGTCTTGGGAGGAAGAGAGTACATAAATGTACAATGTACATAAATTTACATAATTTACATGTATATACTGTAATACATTTCTGCAAATGTTCGAAGACAAGACAGTAATCCCAGCCACCGGCTCGTGAGGTCGAAAGAGGCAGAAAGCTAATGAATCCAACAGCGCAGGGCTGGCAGACTCGGGTCGTCGTGTACCACTTCCAAGACGCCAAACAGCACGAAGAAAGGAAGAAAGGATTTGCCTCCACGGGACGAATGGAACTTATAGAGTTATAGGACAAAGGAAGACGAATAGAATGATGTGCAAAGCTCTTGCAGTGACAAAGTACGCGGAAGGGTTTCAACAGTTTCACCATTTTTTCCTATATACATGTTGAGAGATACAAACCATAGCACACCGAAAGAACATTGTCATCCACAACTTGGTGCAACAAGCATGTGTGAGTGAAACATGACAAATGAGTTTCCAGCAAGCAAACACATACAGCTCTGGCAGTTAGTTGACACAGCTCAGGTTCTTTGCTGCAGGAAGCCCGACATCATGCCTGAAACTGGGGTAGTCCAAAAAGTTCTCACTGGTGCACATGGCAAATGCGAAGCGTGCCTTGCACCCCATGGGCACAATTTGTCCAGGATGAATCTGAATTGGAAAGGCAAACTCTGAGAGACTGAGAGACTGATAAAGCACAGTTGGACATTTGTCTCTCAGTCTCTCAATCTTGAACAAAAGGATCTGAAAAGCCGTCATCTTGCCTCCCCACCTTGGTGTGAACATGTGTCTGGCTTGCCACCACCAGCATTACAAGCAGGTCAAAGCTTTTCCCAAGCAACTGCGCAGCTCTTGGGTCCAAGTGCAAATCCTGAAGAATCTCCAATGGCACTGTATCCTGGCACTGAATCCGTGGCTACGACTTGGTACCGAGTATCAAATCTGAAAATTGTTGCAATTGCAAAAGTTGAAGTATATGTCATGCATCAGCATTGCGTCATGATCGAGTATGTTGCTTAATGGCTTCGACTTAGACGATGTCACCCAATCTTAGAAGCAGCAAATGCAGCACTCTACTCTTCTTTCCGTTCCCTTTTCTCCTGGCCCGCAACTTTGGCGTAGATGCCACAAAGCTCTTCCTTGCATAAGGAGAGCATAAAGACATGCGGCTGTCGCACTACCTCTTGCACGATACTAATACCGGCCAATAAAAGTATCAATATTCATAATATTAAATACTGTAACAGTAACATGTGCAAGCCGGTCACTTCGAAGCCCTCATTGTCCTAGAAATCGCCTTCGATACAATCTTCCAGCACCCAAATTTCAATTGAATACCCCAACGCAACCATCATACAAGCACATTGGAAAATGGTGTTAGTCACAATAGGATAGAGTTGTTGCGATTGCGGTTGCAGTTGCGGCTGCGGCTGCTGCTACTGCTGCTGCTGCTGTCGTGGTGGTGGTGGTGGTGGTGGTGGTGGTGGTGGTGTTGCTGTTTTCTGAAGGCAGCGTTTGCCCAATGTGGCATGTGTTGTATTCCTTACAGTTGCGCCAAGCTTCAAGCCGCAACTGCAGCAAAGGCTTCAGGAGCTTAGGCAAGTCTTCTGGCCCCGTCTTGCCCAGAGATTCCCGACAAGAAAGCCACGAAGGCGTAGAACCCATAGCGCACAAAACAAACCTGTTGCCTTGTTATATCTTGTTGTGATGAATCTCACAATGTTACTTATATGAAGTACTATTACAAACAGGTCCAGTCACCGCGTTACCTGATTGTCTGAAACTGGAAGTAAGAACAGCATCGAACAGCTGCATCAATTGTTGCTACGAGATGCTACGAGTATCATCATCTGACCTAGCAAGTGAAATCCATAAATGTTTTTGTGTTCTTGGATCGGAGGAGAATTCTGACTTGTCCCTGCTTGAGCAATCAATGAGCGCCATGCGAAGGATCTCCAAGAGCAATGCCGCCCCTACCCACCTATGCAAAGAATATCACACATGAAATGCTTACAGTAAGAGCTTGCTTGCCAGAAAGGCACTTCAAATTTGTCTCTAGCTGAACCCACAGGATGCTGGGATCGGAGAGAGGAGACTGGTAACCTGGTAACAGGCACTAGAAGCGATCAAATGCCAAACAGGTAACCACGATCACCTGCCGTCAGGAAGTTTTGTGTCACCCATCTTGCAACCTAGGGGCAAACCTTGTTGGGTGCCAACAAGTAATCCCAGACGACCTACGGTAATGCATCAATCGTCATGTTCAGTTTGCCTGTTCAACGCCCGCGACCTATCAACGACAACTCCGAAACACTGCTGAAAATCAATGTAAATCAGCTGTGGAAATGTTGGCCACTACATTCACCCACTCCACTGAAAGATTAACCAAAAAACACTCCATGCTCTCCAGCTCCGCAGCTGGGCAACAGCTTTGGGGCTTGAGAAGCCACAAATCTTGAACCCAAAATGAAGGAGATGGCCGCAATGAAAAAAACAAACAAATGGCATCGTTCAGTTCAACAGCACTGCTGTGAATGCTAGAACATTACTAATTAGTGCTCCCGTCCAGACCCGGTCCCAGTCTAAGATGGAAGAATCTATTGACGGAATGAATGGACAAATTTGAACCACTTTAAGCCGGCACACTCATCGGTTTTCGAGGAGTCCAAGAGCCCGAGTATTTGGCGCTCGGCATCTGGGAGCAACTGTGCTAATGCTTAAAGGATTTCCACCCTACTCTCCGCCACGCCTGCCAAACACATATTCTGGCAAGCAAAAAAGCACAAACAAATACTGTCCTCGAATCTTGTTAGTAATACGGCTCATACAATCTTCTCCCTCAGTTGCTACTGTGAAATCAACGGGTGAAACAAAAATGGTGAGAAAGGATGTTGCTCAGGCACCTTCCGCCTCAGCCTGAGTTGATCGGAGGTAGGTCATGCATCATGTGCTTTCATGTGCTGCAGTTTCTTTGTAGAATGCGGCACATAAACCAAGCACAGCGAATGTGACACGGAGCGTGCTTACACATGACATGCTTTTGAACTACAATTGAGATGTTGCACCAGCATGCCCCTCAAATGAATTCAAGAGAAAACGGATGGCGGCCTTGGCGGCTTCCTCCTTCAAGCGTTCTCGCTCCTGCACAGTCTCCCGCAGCACTGCTGTGACTCCAATCCAACCGCTTGAACAGCTGTGATTGGCACCATAATCCAATTTGAATTACTGTAGTTTCAGTTTGCTTCAGCCAAGTTTCCTGGAATATCCGCAAAATAGTAACGTATTGTACAATATGTGTTACTTTACTGTAAAATTATGTAAATATTGTAAGTGCACTCCACAAATCTCTTCAGTAGTCAGTGTGCGATAAAAACCAGCTCCTCCAAAACACGCTGTTGGTTCAAGGCCTTTGCCTCTTCCACATGCTCCTGGTAGGACATGCCCGCAAGGGACGTGTTTTGGTAATTAAGGGGCTCAAGGGCATGTCAGGGGTACGAAAGCAATGGGGTTCCAACATGCAACCTGTTGAACATATATATATATATACAGTATATATACTGTCTCGTAACTTTGGCAAATGTGGTTCAAGTGACATACCCACACGGCTACCCACAGGGTTAGGTCATTTGCGCTCACACATCGAGCAATAAAGGATGTTTGGGTGGGGACCTTTGGACGCCTCCACAATCAAAAAAATAAAATCAAGCATCTTCACTGAACGCCTCATTTTTCAATGTATTGTGATGGTTGTGGCCTGATGACATAGGACTTAAGAGCAAATGACCATGTTGGTTTAAGCCTGATGACATAGGCCTTTGGAATCGCCAAATGTGCGGCAGCATTTATTTGGTACTAAACTCAAATACACTAATCCATTATGTGGGGGCCCTATCTCGTTTAGACTACTTAAGTAGGAGGTCATGTCACAGTATCTCGTTCAGACTTTAGTAGCAAATCACACTATCTCGTTCAGACTACTTTAGTGTCATCAAGCAAAAGTATCTCGTTTATGTGGGGGCCCTATCCCGTTCACAAGCGAATACTGATGATAGACAAGCAAATAGAGCATGCCTTAGACAACTTTAGTAATGCCTAAATAAAAATGGTTGCTCATATATATTTGACAAGTCCTAAGTTACTAGTCAGTAGTACAGTATAATCATGTGTAATCTAATCCGGCCTTTCCTGTAAGTGAGTGCAGAATCATTCCAAACACTATTTGTAAACGGATACCAACCGACATCCGAATATTTTTGATGGTGTTGACAGAATACAAGCAGGTCGTCAAGAGGTATTGCGTCCGACGTCCTGGTGCCAAATCTTCCAGAGCTTGGATTAGGCATCAGTGATGATACCCAGGTTTCGTGCACATAGAATTGCCAAATATATAAGTCACAATGTCAATAGGTTCGAACATTGCAACAAGCTAAGCAAGAGCTCCTCTGTGATGTTGATGTCATCCACTGATTCCAAACGCCAGTGGCAAATCAATACCTTGGATCGGAGGTCATAAAGTACTGCAGGCTCCTCGAGAGATTCAAGGCCCTCTGCAATACGGTTCCCTTGTCACTACGTGAGTGCGTTGCGTAGTATTGTGTTGGGATGTCAATGTCTCCAGCCTTGGGCTTTAGGTCGTTCCAACTGGGAAACTACGGATTCTAAGCTTCATTAAGCTTCAAAACATTTTCTCCATCTCCACGCTCGCTTCAGGCAGGGTTCTGGGGCGATGTAATTTCCTGCTTCAGCGAAGGGATTGCCGTTCACCTGGCAGCACTCAAAACTGAAAGGGCTTGGTTGAGCAACTGGGAATTGATTTGAATTGATGTGATATTTTTCATGTGTCAGTTTTCCTCCACTTCGAATCATATCAATTATATAGGTTCTGAAGATTTGTTTCTAGGGGTGCCAGGCACCTGCCACAGCTGCAAAGGTGCACTCTTTG